AACTGTAGTATCAGGAATGGAAGATACAACCTTTTGTCAATTGCAGTAGTGATTCTGCTAAACTGCAACACAAAGGCATGGATTATTTCATAGCGCATCATTGCGAAAAGGTCACCAGTTCCTTTTATTTGTATGTTCCATGTACAAATGACACTTAGCAACATCAAATATTGTAGGTAGTTATACTTTGACAACAATAAAGTGTGAGAATTGCTTATATATCAAGAAGTTTAGATCAAGTAGCAATCGCAAAATCACCAGAATGACTCAGAATGAGCTCTAAATCACCAATAACTCTGGTAGTTGGTTTGTAACCTCTCATTTGAACCACGACCTAGTTCTTATGTATCCACATGACACCTTTTCATTCGTTCTTTCCATATTTGGCAAACTTTACAACTGTGTGACAATTGAGTAATCTAATATGTAGTTGTCATTTACAAGATGATCTATAAACCAGTCCAACCTAGTAAGGCGTGCCTGATCCTTGCAACAGGAGGTTCAGGAGCAACACGCATCTCAAGTTTGTTCTGGCAGCAGAAAATATGTGGAATGCAAGGTAGGTGTCATCGTTAAACCTCTTAACATGAAGCTGTTGCAGAAGAAATCTGTTCCAGTTATGGCTGCACTCTAAAGCAAGAACAAAAGAAAGTGATTCTTAATTTTGTAAATGCAAATGATCATTTGGTATACTTCCTACTGGTTATAAGAAGTGTTGTGCATGAGGTATCAGTATTGTCCAACACACACAAACTACACCCTTGCTAATATGCTAACAAGATAAGGAACTTGTTTACAAACAAAATCTCTTTCGTTAACTAAAGACACGTGCTAGAAGCACAACAATAAAACCATACAAAACAAAAGACCAGCTGGTGCAGGGCCCCAAAATGATGTTAATAAAGAATAAATAATTTTGAGTATGTGTAATGTGTGTAGTATATACATAACGCAAACATAACACTCCTCCCTCTTTATTTATCTAGACAAAAATTAATAATAGCAATTATAATAAGCTAATACTATTAACAATAACAAAATCATTAGATTCAATGTATTCATAGTCAATATTGTACGGGCAATCCATACCTCTTTGGTGAATGTCTTGATCGAGCAGAACGTCGTACAGGACGATTTGTGAGAGATGTCGTTATTGACTCAGGTGTTGGCGACGAGCGATTGGGAGTAGATAAGCAAGAGGAGATTGAGGGAGATTGAGAAGTGTCCATTGTAGGTGATGGATTAGGACATCTGAGTGGTCATCATCAGATTTTTCAGTAGTGGATCTTTCATATCGATAAATCTTATCAGTATGTTTCCCTATTTTATGACCATCTTCTCACAATACTGTAAATAGAACATTACCAGTTAATTCAATAATCTTTCCCAGGAGCCATTGAGGTCCTGTTGCTTAGTTCCTTAGGTGCACCAAGTCCCCAACCTTAAACACTCTGTTTATAATGGACTTCATACCAGTGCTTTTGATGGTCATTATTCACATTAGCTTTCTTCTCCATGTTTGGTCTTGAATGTTGGAAGTGACAATGTAGATGTCAACCAAAGATTACGTCACCAGGAGATATCCTCGTATTACTATGAGGAGTGATTCTGTACTTGAACAGAAACCTAGACTAGCTAGTTTCTAGAGATCCTCACGTAATCTTTCATACACCATCTTTTAGTGTCTCTACTGCCCTCTCAGCTATACCATTCTATGATGGATAGTATGGAGGTGTCCTTACATGTCTTATCCCATTTCTCTTCAAGAACTTACTAAATTTCAGACAAGTAAAATTAGCAGCATTATCAGAAACTACTACATCAGTTAATCCCAGTGTGCAAAAGATTACCTCATTAATTCTGTTGATGCTGCTGTAGTTGAAGGATTAGTAATATGGACTTCCATCGATTTAGAATATGCATATATGATAACAAGAAAAGACTCCTCCAAAAGGACCTTCATAGTCTGTATGGACTCGCGACAAAGTTCTTTCTGGCCATGCCCATGGATGCAAAGGTACCACAGGCTGTCACTTTCTGTGAATCTCTCATGACACACATAAATTTACAAACTGTTCTAAGTCAGCATCTACTCCAGGCCACCAAACAACTACAGGTAAAACTCTTCATAAAAACAATCCCTGCTCATGCAACATCTTAACGATTGTTTCCCTACTTCTCTTAGAATTACAACATGGTTTCCCCACAACACAACCTTTCTCAACATTCAATTCATTCCTTCTCCAATATGGTATGTATCCTTCATCAGTCACCTCCTTCTCGGGCCATGCAGAGAGTATTCAGTAACAAACTTGCGATAGCTCAGGATCACAATCGGTCCATTGCTTGATCTGCTTACTTGTAGTAGAAGAGGTGTCCATATATTCAATCAAGTGTGTTAATTCCTGTGGTTTAGAAGTAAGGTAGTCTCGCATCTGCACAGACATTGTTCCTTGATTCACAATAATAAATACTATAAAAGTACGATCCCATGGCAAGGGCCTATCTTTTTGTACCACCTGATGCTAACACAGGCGTTCCCTTCTCACTGAAATTATGAATGAGAGGCATATGATTTGTCTTGTGTGGATTGTCCCCCATTAAGAAATGGGTCATATTTTCTTACCAACAGCAAGTGCCAACTAATCCAGTTGTTCATACTCTCTCAGTAAGAGTAAGAGAATGAGAGGCGATTCCACTGGACGCTCTTCTGTGTCTGGCATCTTGTGTGCTAAAACCAACCACACACCATATGGTGAGGCATCACATGAGACAACTAGAGGCAAATTGAGATCAAAATAAACTAAGACTCGAGACAATTTGAGTTGTTCCTTAATAGTATTCGCTGAATCCTTTAATAAGCAATATCTATCTTCCACCATAAACCATACAGAAACTCCTATGTCTTGCTTCATATTGATACTAACTCCCTTACTAGATACCTTAACAAGCAATGGCTTACTCAGGGTACAATTACATTTATCAATTAGTGGAAAATCTGAACTTTCCTCGTCTCCCTCTACAGCATTGGCTTTCCCTTTGTCTGCAGGGTCTTCTGGTTAACTACGATGACTGGCTTTCTTCTTACCACACACGGAGGCCAAATGTCCTTTCTTCTTGTAAAAAATGACATTTATAATATTTAAATCGACACTGAGCAGCTGAATGCTTGCTTCCACAATGGTAACATTCTGGGTGAGATGAACCAGTTGCATACTATTAGAACCACCAATTAACGCCATCTTTAATCCCATCCCTTGATTATGATTCATTCAATTAACAGGTAGTTGTGGCTTCTGGTTTTCTTGTAACTGCTTGCAATCATGTGCT